TACATACATACTGTGCATACATACGTACATACACTGAAAATGGCAACAAGACTATATTTATATATATTATGTGGAAATTTAGTTAGTAATCTGTTGATAAATGATTGTAATCAATATACTATTAAACCATAATCTTATTATAATTACCACTAAGTTAGTTTAGTTACATAATAATTTACTAATTGCTTTATAATAACATGGTAATWAGGTGACTCTAAAAAATGTACTTGTAATCTGTTGGTACATAGTGGGTAATTGAGATACTGTTGTATTGTACTGTTGTAAGTGAATTAAAATTAACACTAAGGTTTGTTTAATACATTGTATTTTTATATGTTCTTACCAAGTAATAACATTGTAAATGATTGTAATTACAAGTACTAAATTGATGTTACTTACCATGTAAATACTAAGTATTTGCATGGTAATTAGTGGACTGTAAAAGAAGGGGTTACCCAAATATCTAGTCATGGCATTACAGCATTATTACTTTTATCAGGAACACAGGATAAAAACATGATAAAGCCAATTTAAACAACACATCTTTCAAACTCGTCACATCCAAACTCTTTGTTCTGTTTGAATTTCTAGTATCGAACGCAGCGAGTCTCAGAACTCATCCCCAAACCCACAGTGGCTCAGCTCCAGGATGAGACCACCACACGTCGGGTCTACATCTACGGTGTCCAGGACGACAACGGCACAGACATCCAGAACTTCTCCCTGGACCTGACGCCACCTCCTGACGTCATCGTGAAAACGTCGCCTGGAACCAGCGAGGGCATGAACGTGTTGGGGATCGTCATCTTCTCTGCTACCATGGGTCAGTGTTTGACACGAGCACACGATTGTAAAACTAAGGTAACGACAAAAGGTCGAAGGCCTGCTGAATTTTATAATCATCCAGCAATCACAGAGGAAACCATCTTGTGGCAGCCAACGGATCTTACAAAACATTAAATACTAAAATTTACTGTGGTAGTTGCTGAGAGTCATTTACAGCACACATTCAGAGCACCAACAGAGTGCAAATCACCGGACAAATTTTAATGAAACATTCAGGAAATAATCAGTTGATGTTTGTACCTGAAATAAGTTATGTACAACCAACTGATGTTAGAAAACACGGATATAACTGAGTAATTTCTACAGATACTGAGGTAAAATTTAATATGGTAGTCGCTGAGAGTCATTTGCAACAAGTATTCACAAACAAATAAAATGAATTCTGAATGTGGCTGAAAGCCAGTGGAGCAGCTGAAGGACAGGAGTGATGTGGTGAAATGAGCTGGATTTTGAACCATTTGAAGCTTACAGAGTGATTTGTGAGGCAGACCAAAGAAGAGAGTTGCATTAATAAATCTGAGAAACGACTATGAACCCGGATGGAAGCAGAGTGTGTTGAGAGGGATGGACGGAGTCGGTTGATGTTTCAAAGGTGGAAATGCAGCGGGTAAAATAAGTATTGAACAAGTCAACATTTTTC